AGCAGTCCTCCCACTTCAGCCTCCCAAAGTGCTGGGATTATAGGTGTGAGCCACCACTCCCAGACAACAACCCAGTTTTAAAATGAGCAATGGACTTGACTAGATGCTTCTCAGAAGATAATGTGAATGTCCAGTAATAACTTGAAAAATTGCAACCTCATTAGTTCTCAAGGAAATGTAAATTGAAACCACAGTGAGGTACCACTGATCAGAATAGCTAAAATTAAAATCACTAATAGTAGTAAGTATTGGCAAAGAAATGGACACCTGGAACTCTCCTCAAATTCTTCTTGGAATACAAAATAGTACAGTTGCTTTGTAAGACAGCTGACTGTTTCTTATAAAATAACAGATATATTTTGTGACCCAATAATTCTATTTTCTCTAATAACTTTGTACTTCAAGTACCGGGAGAAAAGGTATCTGCCTTAATGTTCCTACAGATACTCCAGTTTAGTCTTAGACCTTTCATTATGTCTGTTGAGTATTGATTAATAGTTAAAGTTTATGTCATGTGTATTTTACTGGGAGATGTTTGTGAGCAGTCTTGGTTTACTTTGTTTTTAGATCTTAGGTTCTGTGCAGTGGCGGGACCGGTTTTGGACTGTGGCCGATACGGTAAAAGTGGATGCTCCAGGTCTGGCCTTGCTTGCCCTCCATTGGCACTGGGTTTTAAAACATTTGATCCATCAGATCCCCCAACTCCTGATGAATCATGAAGACAAGTAAGACTCATATTTAGAGCAATAATGTCAATAAGTACAGATAGATGATGTTAAAGATGAGAGGGTTTGGAATTAAAAGTACTTCTTGCTTTATTTTGGTTTATTCACTTGGCATACTGGCGAATGTAAATAAAATGTAAAATGTAGATGACTTCTCTTACTATCCAGCATTTCCCATCTGCCCTTGTTCTCCTTTAAAGATATTACAAAGAGGTTCAGACCGTGTCAGAACATATTCAGAATTGTTTGGGGAGCCCGACTGGTGGCTTCACTGGTATAAAGAAGTTGCAGAAGTTCCTGGGACGACCATTTCCTTTTAAGGTACGCCTGGAAGCATGCAGTAAATAAAACGATTTGACTACTTCTTCTGAAATTCTCCTCGAACTTGGGAACTGACATTCTACTAGTCTTATCGTTGTCTGCAAAGCTTAAAAGTCTGTACATGTTCAATACAGACGCAACCATCCATTTTTTCCCCCCAAATATTTTTAATCTGCTTTTGGATTGAATCCATGGATATGGGACCCACAGATAGGGAGGGCACACTGTATTCCATGAATACTGTTAACTAAGTTGTTAAGTGTTTTCATTTTACTTATTCCTGAGACTATTAAGGCTGGGTAGAGTTTTAATTTCATTACTATAAAAATTTCCTGAGAGCAACATGAGTAAACAAATCCTTTGTTTTCTAGGAGCATTAAGGAGATACCTTAAATTTCTAAAGGCTGCTAAAAAGAACCACATTTTTGCTCTATAGTAGACTCTCCTGGGTTTTATTCTTTCAGGACAAGCTGGTGGTGGATTGCTTTTCACAATTGAAGGTCCTTAACAAAGCCCTGGCCGTCAGGGAGTGGGTGCCTGCTATTGGGGAGAGTGGATGGCAGGAAGATATCAGTCGTCTCCAAGTGGCTGCTTCTGAATGGACATTAAAGAAAAGTCTCCTACAGGCCTGGGGATTGATCTGCAGAGCTAATATTCTGGAAGATGTCAAACTAGGTAATACAGTCTGGTATTTGTCTAGCAGACAAATGTTCTGAAAATATCCTCTCCCCTGTAGTCGAGTAGGTTTTTCCTTTTTTTGGATGTAGTATAAATACCATAAATAAGTATCCAGCACAGGGCTAAACTTTACATATGTTTTTAATTCCATCATTAGAATCATGCAGGTATTATCACTTAACAAATAAAAAACTCAAAGCCCAGGTTAAGTAGCTTAACTCAGTCAAGTTAAGCTCACAGTCACATAGCCGGCTGTTAAGAATCTAGAGCCTGTATACTCTTGACCACTGTGCTCTCATACAGTATTTGTCATTTTTGTCCAGATGAATTAAAGAATCTTGTCCATGCTCAGTGTTTAGAACTGAAAGCCAAAGGACTTTCACTTGGTTTTCTGGAGAAAAAGCATGGTGAAGCTTCCTCCCCGTCCCAGCCAGAGTTTACCTCCTTAATCCGACTTACCAGGCGTGTTCAGTTGTGGCCTGCAATGGAGTATCTGGCCATCCTTTGGCAGTACAAAGTGACGGCTGATTTTATGACAGAGGCTTGTCTGAGAAGGTAAGCCATTCTCTTATTTTTCTTGTGGGAACTTTTTCCCTTGTTATTTTGTGTATGCTATAGGTGTAAAGAAGGCATAGACTTGTCTTGAGGGGAGTGGTTGCTGAAGCAGAAGATCATTTATTTGCCACTGTGGAAGCCCAAAACTTCCTGAGGATTCTGTGCCAGTTTTGACCGCACCCTAAAAGTCACTAGGCATTTTACCACTAGGGTTGTTCATTTTTAAATAAATGTACTATAAGTTCCGTGTGTTCTACCTTCCCTTATGTAGCAATTTTCTAGAAGTTCATTAATAGTCAATACCCCACCTTCTCCCTCTTTGCTTCTGGAACAGATCCAGCAAAAATCAACAACCCCAGATAAATGAGGAGCTAAGTCATCATGTCACATTTTGTCTTAAGCACACACCAGTTGGTCCTCAAGATCTTCGGGACCTTTGGTTCTTGCTGCATCATCAAAAGGTAAAATCCAAAATCAAAAAGAGAAATAAGCCTCATTTACATTATGAGTTGATTGGATTTTCTATGACAGACTGGTTGTGGAATGTTTTAGTTATTCTCAAAATTCCATGTTGCAAACCCCAGTTTGTTTGGTTTTGAGACAAGAGTCTTACTCTGTCACCCTGGATAGAGTGCAGTGGCATCATCATAACTCGCTGCAACCTCAAACTCCTGAGCTTAAGCGATCTTCTTGTCTCAGCCTACTGAGTAGCTGGGACTACAGGTGCACATCACCACACCCAGCTAATTTTTCTATTTTTTAGCCTCCCAGAGTGCTAAGATTACAGGCATGCGCCACTGTGCCCATCCCAAACCCCAGTCTTATTTGAATTACCTCCTAAAGGGAAGAATTTTGAATGTTCTTTTGCAGCAATTATGAGGGCATATTACAACTTTTATCACATGAGTGTTCATTTGGTTTCTAGTTAGATGAGGCAAAGATATTTGCTTTTTTAAATTTCCGAATTTCTCAGAAATATATTGTGAGAGTATTTTTAATCTTCCCCTAAATAACTATTGAATATGAATACTGTTAAACTCTGGTTAAATATAATTTCATGAATACAACTTTAAAATTTTTAAACGTTTATCTCTTTTGCTGATATTACAAGTATGTGAATTGTTTTACTTATACTTTCTCATGCAACCTCATAAAAGCAGATCTCATAGTTTTATCAAGTTATAAACAGGTTATGTGCCATGACTTTGACCCAGGTGACAGAGAATCAGGAAAATTAAGATTAATGCCTTTAAACCCATGTTAGTTTTAGGTGGGTCTTAGAAGAAAGAGATTTGATAACTTGATTTATGGTGTCTTTCTCAAATACTGCCTTATCTAATTCCTTTAGGTATCTACTGAAGAAATTGTTTCTTCATGGTCCGAGCTGTTTAATTCCATGTTTATGTCTTTCTGGAGCAGTACTGTGACCACAAATCCAGAGTACTGGCTAACTTGGTACCCTCTGCCTGATATGCAGCAGAGGGAGATGCCCAAGTCTCTTTTGGACTCTACGTTGAAGGTTTGTTGGCCTAAAATCATAAAAATGTTTGATGACAGTAGGAAAAAAAATTCTTAGTGGGTCTAACAATAAACGTTTATTCTTAGGATAGAGTGGTGACTAAATAGGTTATTGCAATACTATTTTTTGCTGGATGTTAATAAGTGTACTGTCAATAAAGGTGTTCCATTGTTCAGTGGTTTGTCAGATGAGTAAAAATATTTCATTAAAAAGTCTTTAATTTTTTTCTAATGAAAACATTTTTCTAATAGCATATTTAAACAGTATAGAAATGTGTGTATGTATAATATAGAATTCATTAGAAATAATCATTCTTTGTATCCTATTTACATATATTTTTATACTAAATGCATACGTAAACAAAAATAAGTACGCAAATACATCATGGAAATGTGTATGTGTCATTCTAGCTTATTCTTTTTAAGATATTCCATTGTACTGATGTGGCAGAATTTATTTAATCATTTTCTTAGTGATAAATGTTAAGGTTTCTTGCATTCCCCCCTACCCTTCTTGTAACAAGCATAGCTGCATTGACTATCCTTATATAAATCTTTGTCCATCTGTCTGTGGGTAATTTATTAGAATTTAATTCTCGGTCAAAGTGTCTGCACATAAAAAAATATTATTGCTATTGCCAGTCCAGAAAGATGGTTTTTGGTTTTTACTTTTTAAACATGCCAGGAGCCAGTTAAAAGGGAGGTCCCGAAGCCCTGGATGACCACAAGAAGGTTTAGGTTTAGGACCAAAGCATTTTCACATACATATATATGTGAGGACCTAGTTCTCCATATGCTTGCCATACTAGGTGTTACCAACATTTCTAATTGTTGCCAGTTATACAATTTAAAAACCACCATTTTAATTTGTACTTCTTTGATTATTTTTAAGATTGAACATTTTTTCATATGTTTATTGATCCTTTCTAGTTCTCTGAATTTTCTAGTCATATTCATTATCTATTTTTTAAAATTTGGTTGTTCAGAATCATTTTATTAAAGATCTCTTTATATATTATGGATATTAAACCTTTGCCCACCATATGGTCGGAAGCATATTTCTAGTTTTCTGTTGTCTCCCAAATTTGTTTTCTTATGTCACAGTTTTTTAATTTTTAAAAAAAGATATGCCAGTATCTTCTGCCTTCTAGCTTTAGTGTCATGCTTTTAAAAAAAACTTCCTTTACCACTTCCTTTAAAATAGTTTTAATCCAAGAGTTAAAAACTATTTCCTCGTATTTTCTCCTATGTTTTTGTTTTACATTTAAATCAGTTTCATCTGAATATCTTGTTTTGTGAAGTAGAGATGCATATTTTTTCTTTTATACAAATGGTAGATCCAAAAGCAGTGCAGTTACACCGTTTTGGCTAATTCATGCTTTCTACTCTCATTTGAAATGCCACCTTTCTATACCTTATTTCTACAAGTGTTTATGGATTTATTTGGACTCTTTTCTGTTCTGGTGCTCTATCAAAATTGCTTTCTTTGTTGTAAAATATTTCTCAAAGCCTTTAGTGATAAACTTATGGATCCCTAAGAGTTCCATGGGGTATACAGACTTGCCTGTCATATGTATTTGGCAACCTAATCCTTAGTTGTGGATAGCGTGTCCCAGATTAACTGTGTCCCAGACTAACAGTCCAAGGAGCACAGGTTTGTCACACTTCGCCCCTGGCTCTTACATTTGTCTTCTCCTTTCCTTACCTCCGATTCTCATTCTCCTTCAGTGTGATGTTTTCTCTTCTGCAAGAATGGTCTCACTGATTCCCAGGTTTGAGGAATTTTCTCATGTATGATGAAAGTACCCATTGCTCCTCATTTCCTAAAGAATGGATCTGCATTTCTTTAGTACATACTAACACCCAACCCATTTCTGCTTTTCTGATCCCATCTCTGCCTAGTGCTTGCTTGTTCCAAGCAACCTGGACCTCCTTTTCTTATCTCTTTCTTCTTTCTAAGTGCCCTAATGCTACTTGTTGAAATCATTTTTGTTAATTTCTAAGAGTTACTTGGCTCTTCTCTTTGTCCCTCAGGGCCCTAGCAGTCTCACTAGACCTGTATTCTCCAAGTGCTGCTTTGAAGTCTTGACCAGCAGCTGCAGAGCAAGTCCCTGGGATGTGAGTGGCCTCCCCATCCTGTCCTCCTCCCATGTCACCCTGGGAGAATGGGTTGAGAGAGCCCAGCAGCTCCAGGACATCAGCTCGGTGCTTTGGACCAACATGGCTGTCCCTTCAGTAGCCGAGTTCAGGTATTCTCTCCGCCTGGGAGCAGACTGTAAAGCTCCTGTCTTTTCTCCAGAGCATACAACAGGGACCCAGTCAGAATGTGCTTCTGTAGTGGCTAGTTCTGGTGGGTGAAGGGTGTTTTCTGCCTGGATTAGCATGGTTTTAGGCTACCATAGCTTGCTGGTTCCTCTGTGAGTGTTTAGCATATTGTGATCAAGAGAGTGATGCTTAGTAAACCATTTAAAATATGAGGGCTGGGTATGGTGGCTCAACACCTGTAATCCCAGCACTTTGGAAGGCCAAAGTGGGAGAGAATTTGCTTGAGACCAGCCTGGGCAACATAGCAAGATCCCATCTCTCCAAAAAATAAAACTAGCTGGGCATGGCGTTGCACGCCTGTTGTCCCAGCTATTCAGGAGCTTTGGCAGCAGGATCTCTTGAGCCCAGGCATTAGAGGCTATCATAAGGTATAATTATGCCACTGTATTCCAGCCTGGGAGACAGAGCAGGACCCTATCTCAAAAAAAAAAAAAAAAAAGTTATGAGAACAGAAATTTACATTTAGGTATTGACAGTGCATTCTGCAGTTGTCATTTCTCAACAGAATGGTGATAGTGTCTAAAAAAAGAATGCTGTTTGCTACATGCAAGCCCTTAAGTGCTCCTACTTTGTCCCCATAGGCGCACGGATTCCCGGCTCCAGGGACTGGTACTGTATCGGCACCTGAGAGGCCTAACAGAGCTGCTCCCAGAGCCACGGCAGCAGGAGTATATGCAGAACTGTGAGCAGCTGCTGCTTGGCAACAGCCAGGCCTTCCAGTACATGGGCCAGGCTCTTAAGGACGTGGCCGATCAGGAAGTGCTACCCAAGGAACTGCTTTGCCTCTTGCTCACCTCCCTGCGCCACTTTTTTGGGGAAGTGGAGAGTAAGAGGAAGCTGCCTGAGCCAGCCCAGCGTGGGAGCCTCTGGGTGAGCCTTGGCTTGCTCCAGATTCGGACATGGCTCCCCCACGCATGTTTCGACCCTGCCGTGAAAAGGGAATACAAGCTCAAGTATGCCAAGGAAGAGGTATGAATGGGAAGCAAAAGCTTGGAGCATGGGCTCCTTCCCTGGCTTGCTGGATTGGCTTAATGTATCACTCCTTTTACTTTCCCTTTCAGGTGCTCAAATCATCAATAGGGTGATTTTGCATGAGCTGCCTTGTCACTTCCCAGGACTGCATTTTCCTCTGAGTGTTTCTCTGACTAGACTCAGGACCTTTTTAAGGTTCTGATCTATCTGCCAATAGGTGCAGAGGGCAAGTAGGTAGAATACCTGAGGCGTCGGGGAAACTGTGATATCTTTCTGGACTCCCTCTACCTGAACTAAGTTTGAATAGTATCCCTATGTTCTAGGAATTTTGAACTTTTGGTGTTTGTTATCTAAAACTGAAGAATCAAAAAGGAAAAAAAAAAGAACCAAGTAGATTCGGATAATGTGGTATCCCTTGCTCTTTGAACTTCTGACCAAATTCAGGAGCCGAATACATTAAGATAGTGATGTACTATATTTTGAAGAAGGGAAATTATATTAGTTGGAGTGAAGGCTAAGCTGTTACAGCAAGAAGACTCAAAAATTCAATGGTGTAAATAGTTTCTTTCACCTAACAGCTCTGATGTGAGTGCTCCAAGTTAATGGATCAGAGCCACCTGTCCTTGGGTCGTTCAAGAACCTGGGTTCTTTCCATCTTGGTTCTTCCACCCACCCCAGGGCCTTTTCCTCAAATGCATGGCCATAGCTGAGACCCAGCAGACCAGTTTCTCTCTTTTCCATCAGTTACACCAACTGCAATGTGAGTGGAAGACCCGGAACCTGTTTTCCCAGCTACAAACTGGAAGAGATCTGGAAGATGAAGTCATTGTCAGTTACTCTCATCCTCATGTCAGGTAATGCAGCAGAATGATTATTTGTGTTGGGGGTTATTTACTCTACTTTTGAAAAAGAGATTATCAAGTTGGCCTTTGCAATGTAGCTGTAGTGTTAGTGGAGATAATATTAATAATATACACCTCTGAATTATTAATATATTAGCAATTAGATCCCAAAGGCTTGGTTATAGTCAGGAAAATATATGCTCTGTGAAAGGAGGGAGAGGATATTCAAGGTGTGAGTCCGCATGGGGCCAAGATGGTTGAAGCCAAAACCTATTCTTAATGTGGAAGAATGTCTGTTACCTTAGGGAATACTGTGCAGGTTGAGGGACTGTTTCTCAGCAGCCCATATGGCTTCATTTTATTTTCCTAGCTGAGGGCCAATCTAGGTTCGTCGTTCTTCTGATAAAATTTGCATGTGGTGTTAATTTACCTTTAGGTCGCTTCGCCAAAGGATCAGTCAGCTGGAGAATTTAATCTGCAGCCTGTTGAAGAAGCAGGCCTTCAGACCCCAGCTGCCTGCCTACGAGTCCCTGGTGCAGGAGATCCATCACTACGTCACCAGCATTGCCAAGGCCCCTGCTATTCAGGATCTGCTCTCGCGGCTCCTGCAGGCCCTCCATATGGATGGGCCTCTGTCTGCCCAAGTAGCCCAGAGCCTTCTGAAGGAGGAGGCCTCTTGGCAGCAGTCACACCACCAGTTCAGGAAGCGACTGGCAGAGGAATATGCCCTGTATCCAGACCTGGTGACCCCACTGCAGGCATCCATTTTGCAGTTGCAACACGGCATGAGGCTGGTGGCCTCTGAGGTCCATGCCTCCCTCCACAGCAGTATGGTCTCTGCAGACAAGCTGGGGACCCTGGCCACAGCCTTGCTGGCTTTCCCATCATTGGGCCCCGCCTTCCCCACCTACTTTGCTCACGCCGACGCTTTATGCTCAGTGAAGTCGGAGGAGCTTCTGCGAGGCCTTGGGAAGCTAATCCTCAAGCTATCAGGAGGAGAGGAGCTGGAAGGCAAGGGTCAGAGACCCTGCCCCACCCGGGAGCAGCTGCTGCTGAACGCCCTCCTTTACCTGCGCTCCCACGTGCTGTGCAAGGGAGAGCTGGACCAGAGGGCTCTGCAGCTCTTCAGACATGTGTGTCAGGTGAGCCTTCTCTGGGAGCATGGCAGGGCGGCCTGCAGGACATTAGCAGTGCCCAGTGCGGCTGGGGAGTGGGGAATCTGTTTTCTATTCCTTCTTTTCCTCCATTTAATAGGTTTTGGGGCCTCTGTCCTTCAATTTTAAGAGATTAAAAAAATTAGTGATAATTAGCCCTTCATTTGTGATATAGACTGCAAATATTTTCTCCTAGTTTGTCAGTTATCTTTTGACTTTATGGTGATTTTGCCTTGTAATTGTATCAACTTGCATTACTCTCTTCCCTTATTAGCAAAAGTAATTTGTTCTCATTGTAGATAATTAAGAGAATAAATACAAATAATAATTTCTAATAATCCTACCACTTAAAGCTATATGAACCCAGTTAATATATTGGTATATTCCATTTTAGGCTTGCTTACGTATACTTATATACACATCTGCCAATATATGTCTATAACACTAAATTTTTTAAAGTAATTCATCCCAATGGTTTACAGATTTTTTTTTTAAAGTAGCACCTTTAAAAAAATAGAAATTTTAGCATAGTGATCCAACATTTAACAGAAAAAAGAGTTGTTCTGTTGAGGTCAATTCCAGTCCCCTCTGTGGCCCCTGAGACATGTCCTTAAACAGCTGGAGCTCTCCAAAATGTACAACAAACCACTAAATAAAGTTTATTCTGTTTTCTAACTTTTTAAAATTTAACATACAGTGATTATTTTCCCATTATTATGTATTCACCTACATCATATTTAGTGACTGCCAAATTTTCTATTTTGTGTTTATGCCATAAGTAATTTAGTGCCAGCAAAGTGGCGCAGTGGAAGCATGCTGGGCCCATAACCCAGAGGTCAATGGATCGAAACCATCCTCTGCTAGAGGCATATATAAGTGATTTAATTAATTCCCTATAATTGAACATTTACATTTGTATATAATTTTTTTTTTCTGTTTTGGAAAAGGCAATGCCTAGTAAATCATCTTACAGTCTTACTATCTCTAGGTATAAGTTCTGCAGATCAGAATTACTAAGAAAATGATTAAACACACTTCTTAGGCTTTTAATGCAAATTACCTTCCTAGATGGTAGATGCTTATTTCCTCAACCCTTAGGAATACTGTATAGTTTCTTCAATTTATAGTTTTTGCCAATTTAAGGACTTAAAATCTTAGAGGTAACAGAGAATCAGGCAGTGTCTTGTAAGACACAATCCAGTTTTGCCTGAATGGTGCTTTCTGACCACCTAGCTCCTGGTCTAAGTTTTCCTTTACTGAACCCCCCTGGGCTAGCTCCTTGAGGGGCCAGCCACATGCAGTCTGAATCATAGCCTCCTCATAGCACATCCTGAGCTTGTCCTTGGTACCAAGCGCCATTAGCTCATGACAGGAAGTTCCCAAGAGCTGTACCGTAGCAAATTTTTACGCCTTTGAAATTATAACACAGTGAGGGGGAATTTAGCAAACTGTGGTTGCTAAAGGTACACAATTTGAAAATAAAACCCATTTGCTCTCTGTTACCTGCAATTTAGTTTCTTGGATGTTGGCTTTTATTTTTTTCAGCCATGGTACTTTGGTTTTCATGAGAAACTAAGCAGATTTTGCCTTTGTTCATTGTGAGTGCCTCAGCAAAGGCAGATCAGCTTCCATTTGTGTGTGTGACTTTTCAGGAAATCATCAATGAGTGGGACGAGCAGGAACGCATAGCCCGAGAGAAGGCTGAGCAGGAAAGCAGCCTGTACCAATATAGGAGCAGGAACTCCAGGACAACCCTGAGTGAGGAGGAGGAAGAATGGGAATTCAGAAAACAGTTCCCACTGCACGAAAAGGTAGAGCGGTGGTGGAAGCATTTATTTTGGAATGACTTCCCTTGATGCCAGACATATTCTCTCTGAATGGCTATATAGTCTTCTTAATATATCTTAATACAGATATAAGTTCTTCATTTTCTCAATTGTTCAAAATCTTTTTTACTTTTCCTTTTAGTCTGATCAGGAGCAGATTTTTTTTTTTTTATTTATTTTTTATTTTTTTATAGAGGCAGGGTCTTACTCTTGCTTAGGCTGGTCTTGAACTCCTGAGCTCAAGTGATCTTCCTATCTTGGCCTCCCAGAGTTACTAGGGTTACAGGCGTGAGTCACCGTGCCTGACCCATGAGCAGATTCTGATTATTTTTATTTATTTATTTATTTTTTTGAGACAGTCTCGCTTTGTTTCCCAGGCTAGAGTGCAGTGGTGTCATCATAGCTCACTGCAGCCTCAAACTCATGGGCTCAAGCAACCTCCTGCCTCAGCCTCCGGAGTAGCAGAGACTACAGATGCGCACCACCACACCCAGCCCAGATTCTGATTTTTAAAACTTTAATTGCTCTATTGCTATTTACAGGACTTTGCAGATATTTTGGTACAGCCAACACTGGAGGAGAATAAAGGAACTTCAGATGGACAAGAAGAGAAAGCAGCCACCAACCCAGAGCTCCTCTC